TGTAATGACTAGGCAGGTGCTACATTAATCCTGAACAAAGTTTTAAAAATGCAGGGGGACAGCGTTCCAGAGAGGGTCCTCAGTCTTTTCATTAATCTATAATTAAGTAAGTCTCCATTTATGTGGGTCCTTAGAAGCCAGAGTGCAACAAACAGCCTAAAATCCCCTGATTTGCAAGCCCATTGGTGCAACAAACAGGCTGTTAATGAGATGCAGAAAAGGACCTTTGGAGTCAGTCTTTGTTTTGAGCGTCAGTGTTGAAGTCCCAATAAACAATATAGTCCTCAATAGGGAAAGAGGGTTTAAAGGTGTGAAAGGACAGGGCATTAGAGTGCACATTTGCCCACCGAGGTGCTGGCATTTTAAGTGACAAAAAATTCCACAGGAGGAGAGTGTATTATAAAAAGAAGTCGCACAGTCTGACATAACAGAAACCCTGAGAGAGACAGCTAGGGTGCTGGGGGGGAACTTGCTGAATTATGGACACTTTACTGGATTAATGCCATTTGGCTAGAAGGAGACAAGTGAAAAGGGGGCTTTTGTCTTAGTAGATAAAATAAAATGTCATTAAACGAAAGTCATCAGTCACACAATAAGCTCATGTTAACAGCTAAGAGTTCCAAATTCTCATTAGTGTCTCTATTATGGAGTCAGTTAATCAAAGGAGTCCATTGGGAAGAGGCTTTATGGGGCTGAATATTGATGAAGGGTCATCATTGTTTCCCAAAAACTTGACCCTAACATTACAATATGAGCTTAACAGACCCAATGACTTAGAGATGACCTCCAACTATCGCCTCTCTATCTTAATCCAGTCTCTGAGCTCAAAGCTTGGACAGCAACCACAAACACCACCTCCTCTTCAGGTTTCAGTATTGCATTACTCTGCAGATCATCATATGCTTTTACCCAAAGTGTTACGTGCTTCACCTGCTTCATAGAGCCGGGATTCTGTGCAGAAGCTAATGATCAAAGACAAGAGATGAGCTAACGTCAGATACCAATTTCTATGAGCGCCGGAAAACCAGCTGTCACCAGCCAAGGATCCGCATCATTAGAACTGAGATTTGTAACTGCGTCATCGGTCTGTGATCATGTGGTGTTCGAGTAAACACTGAAGTTCATATGGCGAGAACAGCAGAGTTACGGCAGGGCAGGCCGAATTACAGCTCACAAAGAACTGGGCCCACAATGGCAGCAGGTCACGCCTGAATGTCATATTCTTGGACATATGTTTCATTTGGTACATAGCAGCATTAGGTCTGATTAAGTTCTTTTATAAACATGCCTATTACACAATTAGCTCCTTTTGCCAAGTGGGCGCCACATTCGATCAGGTCTGGTAGCTTCCTGTTGTTTAAATAATACCCAAGTGACACCAAGTATTGAGCTAACACTTAGCAATAGATTAATGTTCATCAGCGGGCACACTGAGGCAAACCTGGCCAAAGCTGGGGATGAACAGAATAAGGAAGATCCGGCCTGCCTTCCACTTCTACATGCTCAGTAAGACATGAGGTTTCAGCAGTGCTCTCCTGAACGGTGGCTTAAGCAGCAGCTACTAGCATCGTCCTCAGTCTCATTAGCGATGATTAGGGCTGAGTGCTGAGCGGCATTGGTTTCCGATACACAGCAATTAAGCCAAACCGCCAGAAAACCACACACAAGCTCAGCCCGCAGGTGATTTGTCAGGCTTATTAAACTAGGCATTGTGGGTAAATACTGAAGGAGTGAGGATTAGTCCATGAGAGTGGAAAAATGGAAAAAGCCATCATCACGTAAGTATGTTATTCACAGAACAAAAGTAAGCATAAACCATTAGAGGACTTGTTTGTAGAAGACTGGTCTACCTTGCTGGATACTGGCAAACACCAATAACAATCAGTTACTGTTTCTGATCTAGGCAATATTTAAATATTTACGCAGATGCTAGGGATGTGCATCTCCATCACTGAGGCGATGCGATACACATCTCGATGTACTGCCAAAAATCTGATACATTAATGAATCCGATACATATGAAGCAACAAAGCAAACAAAAAAACTAACTTTGCACGTCAGATTCTTCCTCACTTTCCCATAAACATAATGAGTTGACGATTCTTCTCCACTTCACAGACACGAAAGCAAGCTTGCTTTTGCAAGCAACAGCTTACATTCACAAATTAAACTTCAATGTACATAAAAGATGGGCAAATACAACAAAATTATACAAAAAAAAATTAAGCAGTTACTGACTTGAAAATTGAATGAGCCAGAAGTCATATCTTACCTTCACAAACACAGGAAAAAAAGAAAACTTGTTTTTGCACAAAACAAATGACAAATGCAAGCAAGTTTGCAATAAAAGGCATGCCCTTCTCCTGGCTTGGAAGCATGAAGACCCCCGTTGTGAGCTAAATAAATAATATGAAATTAATAAAGCAAAATGATTTAACTCACTATTCTAAATAACAATAGGATTTTACCGATGCAAAGATGTTGGAAACGATGCATCCCGAGTTCATCCCAAATTGTATCTGGCACACACTTTTTAAAATCGGGGCAGTCGCATCATGAACTTTTATGCTGGTGCACTGATGCGAATCGGTGAATCTTACCATCCCTAGTAGACGCGCAATAATGTCATGAACCCACACTATGATAGAGAGTAGCCCTATAGGAACTCAAAGTGGTTCTCCACAGTACTAAAAAGTGCTGCCTAACTGTTGAACAGTGTTTCCCAATCCGATTCCTGGGGTCCATATTTTTGCTCCCTCCAAGCTCCCTGCCAGACAGTCCACATTGTTGCTGGTCCCTGAGGACCAGAATGGGAAACATTGCTGTGGAGAATACAGTTTGGGCTGCATGACTATACCTTGCTCTACACTCACTATGGATATTCTCATGAAAGACAGCTGGATATCCTCTAAAGTTTATAGACATTCAGCACACTGGAGCGTCCAGAACCAGATCTTGCTCTCTTATCCTCCCTATGGAATTGTACCATAGGATAACTTTGGATGGCAGGCATGCATACTAAGAAATCACCCAGAGAGGCAGCATCTATAAAACACACAGTGTTTAAGAAGCCCACATCACTGGGGCTCAACTGCAGGTTAAAACCATCAATATATACTGGACCTCTGTTTCATTTCTGAACTGACACATCTTTTGGGGGTTTGGGCTGTGGCTTGATAGTGGTCATAAGACTTCCTGTCTACTGCAGATGTGGATTTAGTCCTGGGCTGCTAGTATCTGGAGTAAACGTGAGGACAAAGTATACGATCAAAGTGTAACACCCTGCTGGGGGCGGGGTGACACCTCCATATTCTCCTCCATATTCTCGTTTTGCTCCAACATCCAAATTTAAAATGAATAAAGGTTGTTGTTACACAAACAGGCAGCAGTATAAGCACACTAAGCACCCGGTTAGCTGCGGTCCTCCTGGGGAATAACAAAAGGAAGAAGACTAAGCTGATTTACCTGTAACCAGTAACCCTCAGACTACCATCATGACAGAAGCTTCAACAGATTCACTTCCCCTCTACTAACAGAAGGCCGTGTGATGCCCGTAACAACCGTGGCACCTCACTGAAGCTCTGAGGATGCAGGCCTAATCGCTAGAAAATAAGAAGTTAACGTTTTCCTTGGAAAACCCACTGTGTCGAGAAATGATGCAAGTCGAAGCCTCTCAAAACGAGCGGTACTATGTTGGTTCTGGCCTAACGTGAGGAAATGAGTGCTGCTGCCATCGGTTCTTAATGAAAACAGAGATTAAGCCAGATTTGTGTGTGTGACCGTTCTGCCTCAGTACTCCAGCTGTAGCACTTGCTGTTCTGACAGCCTGCTTCAAATCCAGCTGTGGTGTGCATTAGTCTCAGAATCGTCCTTCCTAGTAGATGTGGCATTCTTTGCAGCATTTATATCAGAAACAAACACAAGCAAGTTGTATAAACACAAGCCGTTCTGCACCAAATCTGGGTTGAAGCCATTCAGTGCTCAGTGAGCTGTCCAACAAGCCTGACAAGTAATCAATGCACAAAAACAGTATTTAGAACAAATGAACAATGAACCAGACATCGAGTCCTGGATGCCATTCAGTTTTGTGCTGCTTCTGTGCTGTCTGCTGCTCATTTACCAACTGTAACGCACCTTAAATTAAAAACTTCTTTAGTTCTGCTCCAACCCCTCCCACATCTCCACCCGCCCATGTCCCCGCCTCCAGTCGCGGCTGCTAGGATACCAGCACCAATCAGTTTGGGATTCACAAGGACGACCCAAAGAATGTTCCGGATATCTTAACTTACTGTTAGATAAAAGCGTCTTTGGATAAAAAGTATGTGGTTATCAGAAGCAATGTCATAGGAACCTGGAGGACAGTGGAATGTGTCCCCCCCCAATATTTAATTTGCCTTCATTCATCCCTCCCAATAAACAAATCTTTGTATATAAATTATTAAGCTGTGTCCCCCACCTCATTATCAAGCTCTCTCTTACACAATTGATCAGAAGATTGCTCTTTAAGTATGTGAATATTACTGTGCATGCAAAACAGGAGCGGAAACATATTGAAAGGCAGACCATCGACTGTGTGCTAATTAAGCTCCAAGCACAGCGCCGCACTTCTATATTTAAAGGTATACCAACAAATAGACTACACGTAGATTCAGCTAAAGTGACAAGTGGATGAGCAGGTCTAAGTTTACATTGTAATCACCTAAAAACGATACACTAATGTGTTCTGGAAGCAAGAACACACGTGCTGCTTAAAACAGCAGTGTTCAATACATATGCCTACCATATTTGTCCAGTTTCCCATCTTGTTGAAGTGCCAAAACAATTTTATTCATTCAAAGGCTCACAGATTAACTTCATTCTTAACTTCTTGTATTGTTCAGTTATCCTTTACATTTTGAGATATAAACGAAAGCCTTCACCTACAGTTTCTATTTTGTGTCATTTTATAACCTACTGCTAAATAAACTTCTTTGCATGCATACTGATAAATAGCTAGTTACCTGCAACTCGCACCATGCCACCTCCACTGTAGTCTCCGTGTCCAGACCTTTATAGACGGTCTTGAAGGAACCCCTTCCGATTTCTATGTTGAATTTCAGATACCTGCCGTCGGGCGAAGTGGCAACGGCTTTCGTTTCAATCTCCTCTTTTTCCTCTTGCTCCCATTTACTTTCAAATGGTGCGCTCGACAGAACAACTTTCTGGTTTTTAGTGGAGGCGAGTTCGTCTTCGGAATCCGTACTGGTATCCAGGGTGCTGGTACCGGGGACCCTGACGCCCCACTTATCATGGGATGAGACGGGCTCCGTGGTTTCTGCGCTGGGGGGGCTGCTGGGAGATGCGGGAGGCAGGGAGCCCATGTTTCCATCTTCCTTACTGCTTTCGGGGAAAATGCTGCTGGAGGACCAGGGCAGCGTCCCGTCGTACAGCTTGGGCTCCGGGCTGAGCCTGTGCAGGATGTAGGAGTTCCTGCGCGCGCTTATCGAGTGTCTCCGAAGCAGCGGCTCGATTTGGCCAGACAGGCTGTCATCCAGCCCCGCTGTTAAATTTGGAAATCCGCGCCCTCCCAAGTCAACTTCTGCATGAGACATTCTGAATATACCCCAATATATTTGATAATATTTACTTATTTAATTATTCGCAGTTTTCCTTTAAAAAAAAAAGAATTTCAGATAAGTTCTTACTTTTCGGACCTTGACATGGCCACCCCTAAATATCTCTCGTATTTCGTAAGCAACTGCGACTAAATAAATAATTAGCAGCCTATAAAAAGGTTTACATGAGCTATAAATGGTTCAGTAGGACAAGAATAGTTTTTTTGTCCTTCCTCGAGCCGTGGGTCTGTGCGTTATTTATAACCTTAAGCGACCAAAGACGTAACTTAAGCTTAGTAGCGCAGTTATTGGCTTTACCGTTGCCTATTAAAAAATAAAAGCACATAAATATCGCCGGGAAATAGCGACGTCCCAAAGCGAATCTACTTTACATTTCACCTACACTGTACTCACAGAGCGGATACATGAAGGTCGCGCTCGACGGGCTACTTGTTGCAGAGACACTTTAAACAGCCGAAAGTAGATGATCTTTACTTGTAAAACACAGCAATGTCGACGCCAGGGCTGATCGGTGAATTTCCAAAGTGAAGCGTCCTAAACGCGTAGCCTCTGCAGGCATATTGACGCCGCTCCGGTGTCAGCAGTCTATGTTCTCCCGCACGCGGCTCCTCCTCCTACCTGAATCCAATGCCAATTACTGTCACGGAGCTCACGTTCATGCAGCTACGGGCCACCGCGCTGATGTTCCACATCGGACATATATAATTAAAAACACGTGAGAGTCAACCGCGAATATTTTCCTACTGCATTTAATATTTCAGTTGCACCAGATTATTACAATTTACAGTCTGACGCAGGTAAACTGTGTGTGTTCTGGTTGTAAAAACGCCTCGCAAGGATATTGAATAGATACTTGTTTTTTTTTTCTGGACTGAAAATAAAATAAACAACACAAAGATAAAACTAACTGACCCGAGTACTATTTCAGTGGAAACCAGCTGACCAGAACAACCGGTTCAAAAACGACCGCTGCATTGGTCTGGATCACTCATTACCAAACAGTGTAGGCTATATTGGTAATGTAACTAATACAGAACAGTTCCTATCAATGCACCAGTTCTGCGTTACTGGTGGATAATGCAGACTACCTCTATCTGAAATATACCATAATCATAATTTCTAATGATAATTTAAGAAGTTGAAGAGAATTCTTGAAAATGTGCAGCATTCGTTTCAACATTAGAAGGAAAATTTCTGAAAAATCAAACGTGAATCCAATGAAATAGCCTAGACTTCATTCATTATATTTAATTTGTTTACTTACAGGCTTTGAAATTTGTTTTCAATTTGAACATGGATATAGCAATGCAGATTAGATACGCAAAAAACATAGATTTAGACCCATTTCAAATTGTGTCCTAAGCAAATACATCACCTTTTTCTTGAAGATCAACAAATTGAGTGTTCTGTCCTTTTGCATGTTCTATCCATTTGAGGGTTCTATCCTTTTGAGTGTTCTAAATAAATTATTAACTACTTGTGTTGCCTTAACTACCTAACAAGCAATGTGTTGAAAAAAGAAGTTCCACGTTGGGCTTAAACATAAATAATTCAAAGTATCAGCAGCTGAAACTATTGCATACACCCCATTTATGTGAGGGTAAGCTTTCACACAACGCTTGTATAATTTGCACAAGACTAAAATCGGTGCAATGTAACAGGAAATTGCAGACTTGCAGTTTCAAGAATGATCAAGCGCAACTGAAGCAAGCTTGGAAAAAGCAACTGAAATATATGGGGATTAATTGGCAGCATTTATTATTATTATTTAATTATGCCTTTTTCCCTCTAATGCTATTAACCTCTATCTTGTTCCCTCAGCGGTTTCTGTATTGTTTTACTGCCTGCATAATCTTTTGGCTATTTTACTTCTGCTGTCTCATTCTAGCTGTTTTTATTTTACTGTGTAGTGCACTGGGTATGACAAATGCACATTACAAATGAAATTTGTTATTATAATAAGTATGAAATGCTATGTTTCTTTCACAGTGTTGTTAGAATCTGCTAAATAAATATATAAATAAATAAATAAATAAATACAAATTCCTCACAATGAACTAGAACCAAGTCCAATGAATGACAGTGCATCAGGAGAGGACACTGGAGAGAGAAATGACCCAAGGTCACCCAAGCAAGCTGTAGCAAAATGGAGCCTTCAGTGAGCTACGACCCCCAGCATGAGATAAACCCCCTGAACAGAACCAAAGAATGTAATTTTCGGAATGTCCCCACTTTCCCCCCAGGCACGCCGGGATTCCAGAAGCAACTTAATATCTGTGGTCTTGACACGTGAAAGCAGGAAGAGCTCAGCTAGGCACCCGAGTGAGTACAGGTTACCCTGGTATGTCCCTCATTTTACTGCCAGCTGTCAGCCTGGCTGTCTTACCCACATCTGGCACACTTGCACTGCATTGTGGGCGTTTTGTTACCAAACACAGATTTATCCTCATCGAGCAAAGGATGTGGTGATACTCTCCCCATATGCAAACTTGTGCCTTTTTTGATTATTATTTTTTTGTACTTCAAAATAGGTTTGAAAGAAAGGTATCTAAAAAAATGTATCTAAACTAAGTTGTCGTGGTTGTTGCTATGGTCAACCACAATCATTTAATATTTGCAATCATATAAATCACACTTGAGCACTTTCAACATATTATACGTTTCATAAACATTTTAATTTAACCTGTTGTGTCATACTTCATTGTCTACTTTAATCCAAATCCATGGCATGTTATAAAACAGGTGTGGGAAAATGAAAACTTTCTGGACAATTATTTTAATTCTAGGATGCCAGTAACATTTGATGGGAGATGTAGGTACACACACACAGGTTGGGGGGGGGGGGGTCAGCGGTCACTTCAGTCACCAGCAGCCCAGTACCAGGTAGAACTGGTTAAAATCAGTTTGGTCCAGATAGGTTAAAGGATTGTCCAAAAAGGCTGGCTATCTTATGGCACCCTCCCAAGATGACGAAAAAGAAGGTATTTGAGTTACGATACAGCAGGTTCCAGCCCAATGAGTTGAAACTGCATTAAAGCCCTGTTATCATCTAGGGCCACAAGGAAAACCAACCAGTCATGTTAGTACACAAGGGGTTATCTGCAAAAAACATACAACTCTCACAGCTGCCCCAGGCCCCAATAGATGTGCCACTCGATTAGGAAGCCTTCAGCATGTCAACACCCTCTTCCACAGAACTCCGTATCTAGGTCACATCAATAATATCCAGCTCCGAGTTCTTTACAGCTTTTTGTATTGGCTTTATGGTGTTTACCCTAATTTCTTTCATGATTGTCTGTCAACAGCACAACCAGCACGACTAATTGATGTCTTCGTGGCAACATGTTCTACTTATTGGAACGATACTGCTGTTCCCGTCTTACAAATGTTATGCAGCAAAAGGCTGTCAAGAGAACAGGGAAATTAATAAACTGAAGTTTTATTACTCTGTTTTGCTTAATCAATGAAAACAGGAATTTATTACTAAGCTTGACCACAGTCATATAATATATATAATCATATAAATCATGCTTCAGCACTTTCAATGTGTCACATGTTTCATAAACATTTTAATTAAACCTGTAGCATCCCCATTGTGTCATACTTCTAAAAATGAAGTCAATGACATTTAGCCTAAATTTAGCTTTGGGTCAGTGTTTGTTGGAATTTAATGAGGCACAGCAAAGTAAAACATTCCTCTAGCTAGAAATATAGCTAAAATGGCAACAATGTGAATAAGGAACAACTTCTAAATATATTCCTACAAGTTATTTGAAGCATTTATCCTGGAAAAAAACAATCTAGGAAAACATATAGGTTTGGAGTTCAATTACTAAAGAGGCAGCAAGTGTGCATTTTTGTTCTGTAGTTATATACCAAAAGCATTGATCATTTTTTCCTAAGCAACTGGATTCCAGTTGGTCAAAAATGCAACCAATTGTCTCAGGAAGACATCTGTGAATAGTTTCAAAAAGATCAAATAACTTTACAAACAAAATAATACAAGAATGCAGGTACTGTGCACACAGATGTACAATGAGTTTTGGCTCAGGATTAACTATATAGTAGGAACAGATAAGCCTTTGAGAATAAATTACAGTAATTCTGCCACCTAGTGGTAAAGAACAACTAACACTAAAACAGCAAGGAGGTAATCCACATTGTAAACTTATGTAAACCCATATGTAATGTCCATACAAGCCCATATGTAATGAATACTGCACTCCAGTTCATGACATCCAGTGAGCACCTTAAGGATGCAGGGAGAACCACATGCATTACCATTGGTTTAACTTGACAAGTTTTGAATACTATTTACACCAGGGGTGTCAAACTCCAGTCCTCGAGGGCCGGAGCCCTGCACAGGTTTTGGGTTTCCCCTCATTTAACACACCTGATTCAGCTCCTTGTGCTAATTACCACACAGCTCTTGAGCTGAATCATTTGTGGTGGAACAGGGAAAGAACTAAGCTACACTGGGCTCCGGCCCCCCCAGGTCTGCAGTTTGACGCTTCTAATATACAGAGTCACTGCCCTGCTTGTCTGACTTCCAGTGTGTTAACATATTTTTCAGAACCTGTATGTGTAACTGGACCATTCTGCAAACAATTAACAAGTCATTTTTTAGTGATATTAAGATAAAATTTGCTCAATAAAAATCATGCAATTTTACTGAAAATAAATGAACCTATAAGTGACCATTAGCTTCCTTTATCACTGCCTTGAGTGTCACTGCACGTTGAAATACAGTTTAACAGCTGGTTGTCAGCCTTGCCCAGGTTTAGTTCATTCCCTAATAATAAATAACGCCACATAGTGAAGTAGTGCTGAAACACACCTCATTTCACTTCCTTTTTATTTTACAGCATGACGTTGATATAAAAGGAGAACAAAAAAAATGCAGAAATCAGTACAGAAGAGTAAATGGTTTCATCAGTATGCAGAAACAGGATGCCCCCTGGCTGTTACTCCGGCTCAGGAGGCCCTCCTTATGCTGTCTCTGATAGGAAATGACCCCAATCTCAGACATTTCAGAGGCTGCCTCTGGGATCCGTTAATTGCGGCAGTAACCAGAAGCATTTCTGCCTATATGATGTTTGATATGACAAAGAAAATAGTCTATGCCTAAACTATATAGAAAAGACCTCCAGAACATAAAACAAATGTCCTTAAGAAAATCAAAGTGACGGACAAATAGAACAGCTTTCCTGAAACACCCTCAGTGGTCAGTGTGACCGATGGAAGAGACAAAGAGGCCCATATCCTACTTTTTTCAGTGGAAGACACACCTTTTTCCTAGGGTCCTCCTAGCAGAGAACAATCTACACAGTCCCCCACAGCACCGGGATGCACCCCTCTTTCCCGGGTTCAGAAAAACTTGACACCCTTCCCATCATCCATGGTGATGATCTCTGCCTTGCCCTCCGCCTGTAGAGCCTGCAAAGAACGAAGCAGCATCCACTCTTCCAACCCATGGAATTCTGCGAGCAAAAAGGAAAATAGTGAATGGGTTACTGATGTAAAGTGCTTATCAACAGAGGTGTCCCTAGACTTCAGCACAGGATAGACAGGATTTCAGTGTAAGTAAATCATTTCAACAGTTTTATGAATGAAGACAGTTTTATAACTAAGATCCATATTATTTAGATATAATGATTAACATGTTACATGGGAATGGTTCCCCTCACAGTACTGCAGACTCAATACCTTCACTTTCTGTGTCATCCCCATTAGAGAGCTCGTAGAGTGTAAACACTGAATTGTTCATCCCATTTCTGGATACCTATTGAATTAAGTAGAAATAAAAATTAAAAAACTATTCCACAATGCTGCCTGATTACAAACCATGTCCCCTGACCTCACTCATGGAAAATCATCATTCTTACATATCATACTGTGTTGATCTACTGCAAGCCGTCATCTTTTTTTCCCCACAGAACAGTGACCCAGGAGGAGAAAAGACTGCTCTGTCACTTAGGCCTACTGAGCTCAACAGAGAAAACACCCAGGAGAAATTCCAGTTTCCTGCACTATAGCCCCATGACGACCAAGACCAAAGGCTGATCCGGAAGGACAATCAGACAGTTCAACTACATTTCAAAGGGGTCTACATCGTGCTTTGCTCAAACCCTTTAGGATATCCAACCCATCTGGGAAAACACTCAGCCATAATGTACCTTACTTTTATCTGCATAATAACCACAATTTTAAATATCCAAAGCTGCCTCAGTAAACAAAAGAAGGTCTATGACTCATGACATTTTTCTCTCAAAGTCATGTGTCCATTTTAGAGATCTCAAGATGCTGAACGCGATGATTATGTTTATTACGTTAATCACTACACTTTGGGGAAAAGCATGCTTCACTGCCAAAGCTCCTATCTCGCCATATGGAAGTAATTAAGCTTAGGGTTTGTGCAGTATTATGGCAACTAAAAGCCATTCGACATATAGGGCTGGTTCAGTTCCCATTAAGCATCTCCCCGCTGCCAATTATACCAGATGAACATTTGTGTGGTTGCACTGTGTGACTTGTTTGGAAGCAAGGCAATGACCAATGAGCTCTAGAGTTGAAGTGGGTGGAAGCGCTACAGCCAGTGAGGAACACAGTATGCTGTGGTCTGATTTAGTGAAACAGGATTTTAATTGTTTTTTTTTAATATATCTGGTGGCAATTATTTGGGTTGCATCACTTTAAACATTAAAAAGTAATGCTCAGAAACAGAAAGGCAACACTGTATTTAATTGAATCGAGCTTCCTCAGTCACGATGGAAAGTAGCTAAACTGTTTTGCATTGCTCTGAATGTTTCCTAAGTAACGCGATATGGGAACAAAACATTTCAGCTATTTACACATGGTATTTTCATCATAAGGACTTATTTACCTTATTGTTACAGTAGTAAAAATGAACTTTAAAAACTGACTAGTATGCAATAGTAGTAAAAGAACTGCAGCCAAAATAGCCAGGTAAGAGTAAGGACATTACTCTGTGTGAGGCACTTGCCCTAAAGGCCACTTCAATCCAAGTAAACACACACAATTGTGGAATTTGAGTCTCCAAGTCAGTAAAGAATGACCTCAGAGCCTGTTACAACGTCCTGTTCTTCAGCTTCTATATATTAAATCCCCTCTAAGGGGTGACAATGTATGATTTCTAAGGCTAATTTGTCATCTGGTATTAATTAACCTTCACCACCCCCCCCAGTAATAGAGACCCACAGAGAGCCAAGGCAGCAGCTCACCCACTGGTATATGAGCTTTCCCCATTCCTCAGGCCGCCTCCACATTATCAGGCAGCGTGTTTTGTTCTTGTCCATCCACTCCAGGTTCCCTGACATTTCAGACACATTTTGGTTTTCTATTAGTACTACAGGAAGGCGAGCAGATTAGCAAAAATTAACAGCAACAGTTCCAAATGTTAATATGGAAAACTTATGCTCAGATGGCACATTTTCAAGTTAACAGTCAAGCTGAATAATCAATTCAAAAGCATGCTTTTCCAGATAAAAGTCATTCTTTTCCAACCCCACCTTTTTTCCTTAATTCTTCAAAGACAACCTGGATGGCCTCTACTGAGAGCTTTCCTGTGTGTAACATTAAGGAATGTAAATTTTAAAAATGTATGTCATCTCTGCCCAATGAAAACTCTACTGATAGCGTTTGACATCTAATTAACTAAAAAGATGTTTTATGAAGTCATCTATTTAGCTAGTAGTCATGTTCGTACTAGTTGGACTTCATATTGCTAATTTTAATGACTTACACAGCTAGATAGCTAGTTAACTAACACTTTTGACTGAATATAAAACAAGATTATAGTTTGTATCTTGTTGACGCTGACATTCACCTCGCTGACAACAATCCACATAAATTCCTTTAAAACATTAAGCCATTCACTGATGCTTGTGTGAAGATAGGTTTCTATTTGTGGTTCAAAGGTGTCTCATTATATTTTTAGGTTTATCTTGCCAGTTAGTTTCTGGGGGGGGGGGAGCATTACTTATAAATAATGAATTTTTGGCGATACCTATTTTTCATTGGACAACGACAATATACTTAAAACAGGTATAGAGTGTAATTAATTGGGTAGACATTCAGTCTTCTAAGATTGTGAAGAACGCATACTTTTATACTAAATTATACTTCATACTATATTTCGCATCCTTGGTCATTCGTAACACAAATAAGAGATTCCTCACAACCAGAGTTACTGTGTCATTTGTTTAAAACTTTGAGATCTTTCTCAAAAAAAATTGTCACTGTTCCAAAAATTTTCCAGGAAGACTTAATTTCACGCATGGTAATGTTGTATACATCTGCATGTATGTCTAACAGTAACCGGTGAACATATTACAGCAACACAGACAACAGGAAGGATACTTGATATTTTCTTGTTGTTGAAAACGGGGCTTTCTTGAGCCTCCATAACATCCAAGGTGTAGAGTTTACGATGTCGACAGTAAGACAACACCAGCGAGCACCACGCCGCCAGCTGTTTCTGTCTCGTGTCCACATTTGGCTGTAACCTGTCAATAATCCGATTCAGTAGCATTTTATATATACCACACTGAACACTCTCATGCATATAACAAAACTGATCACCTGTCATTGAGCTATGTCAGGAAAATTAACCCCCACAGCCTCATCATCTACTGATACGTATTAATATAATCACCCGCATGTCACTGTAGCATTGTAACTACAACAGCAGCTCATTGAAAGATTTACTCCTACTGTATTTACTTGTCGCTGACAAACTAAACGGCCAGACAACTTTCCCTTGAAAGTGCTTACCCTTACGAATAAAGCTCAGTTGCAATGGTTAGCAGTGTCATATGGTTATTAAAAATTATGATGTTGGTACAAAACATATTATAATAGTAGTACCGATCCCCCCTTTTTAGCGATTAAGCTACTTCCCTAGCCGGCTAGCTACAGAGTTTAAAAGACAACTCTCCAGGTAACAGGCAGCAAAAAAACTACAGCATTTATGCAACCCCACAACCCAAAAACGCAAAGATAAAAAAAAAATGGCACTCACGTAAAAAAGGGAGGAAAATTATACTGCCAAGGCCACTCAAAACTCATTTCTGAGACTGACCGAATTCGCCGGAAGTGGGTACGTCAGATAAAAGGTTCCCTCCTGTCAGGATGGAGCGCTGAATCACACGGCTGCCTGACGGTTCCGTGTTTTTTCCCCCCACCCGCGTCGCCATGGCGACACCGCCGCCTGCTGGCGCTTTTTGCCAAATAGCGCGGGGTTTGCGACCGTCACGCGACTGGCTCGCGTATGTGTTATTCACACACCTTGTACTCCTGTTTAAATTTTGTCGCGGGTCTTTTTGTACTTTTACTTTAGGTTATAGTTTATAACTTGTCGTTTGCTATGGATACGAAGCACGTCGTTACCCATTCTCTTAACCAAGCTATTCCGCCAAAGTCGTTACTCGACGACTATTTCAGCTTGCAGTTTGGTCAGACCCCGTTCGATATTCTCCTGGATTCGCTCAATGATCTTAACAACAAAAACAGAGAGAACTTAAAAAATGTTTCAGAGGAGTGCGGTAGTTTTAAAGAGAGCAGCATAGTGGGTAAGCGGCTTCCACGGGTATTAAGTGACAAGTGAAAGTTACCCTAGCTAACTTAATAGGTGCTGAGTGGTGTAGCTCTTTAACATAGTAATTTGAAATTAATGTAATTTATATTACATTTTAAACAAACAAAACACAGTTTTCACATCTTTTATAATCGCCACGTTTTACTTTTTAGAGTGTGTTTTCCTTATATGTGAGGAGTTGAAGCTGGATCCGTTTGTTGGATATCAAGCCGTCGAGATACTGGAGAGGTACTGAATTTGGTTGCCCCGAAGTTAGACTACATGCCGCAGCCTTGATTTCAGTTTTTTCTTATTCATAATGCATCGTAGAATGGTACCGTGCACTTCACGTTACGCTGTGCCTTTTCCATCTTCATAAGGTTCATGGTCAAACATGTTCAAGACATGTTTCACGGCCTGGGATGTGTTAGGGGCACGGCTGAAAACGCGGTTTTTTACAAGCTGAAAGACAAAATAAATGTGTTGGTGTTCACCTGTGTTCAGCTGGCGAGCAAGATGGCGCAGCATCTCTGTGTATGTATACGGCCTTCATTATTCAGTGCGGTCTGAAATTTATAGTATGTTGAGATGTTTAGAAAACAGTTCAGCTTTGGAAAAGCAGATGACACAGGGCTTTATTTTAGGTGATTGACAGCAGCACGGCAGTGAATTTCTTGCACTCCATGGGCCTCTCCTGTTCTAAAAAGACACTTCTTGAGTTCGAGCTTCTCATCTTAGGAACCCTGGAATTCTGCATTAATGTTCCTAATCCTCTTACATATGTCGAGACACTGCTAGAAGCGCTGAGTAAGTTCTCTTAATCTGGATTAGTTTTTTCTGTTGTGCTCATACTTGAAATTGACTGAGGCATTATGAAATAACCCAAATAGTAGTTCTGGGAAAATTGATTAAATTTTGCAACCCACTGTCCTTCTGTGGATTCAGAAGGGAATGATAAATTATCAAATTATATAGAGCTCTAAACTTTGTGGTTAATGGACCCAAAAGACACATTTTTTGTCACTGAATATATGCACTGTACTTAGCAAAACTGTTCACATATCGCAGTGCTTTAGACACTTTAGTGTGCTGTATCAAGGTCTTTGATTCAACAACAACTGTTAATTTCTCTGCAGTTTTTGCGGATCTTCATGATGCTTAAGTTTATTTCCTTCAGTAATTTTGCATAAATGCATTTTTACTATTGTTTGTGATTAGGCACTAATTGGCCAATTAGGCCAGAGATGCTTTCTATGGATTTGAAAGCTCTGGTTTAGGTAATGACCAGTGTTTGGGAGTAACTAATTACCTCTAAGGGTGTTACGTACTGTAATTAAATCGCAAAACAAATGTAATTGTAATCCGTTACAATTACTGAGGACAAAAATGTAATTATTCCAGTTCCTAATCAAAATGTTAATCACAATGGGGTTATATTCGAATATATTCTTTTCAGTAAAAAGCTTGTATAGTATAACATTTATTTTGTTGCTTTGCATTTTTTGCACTGGCTGAAATGCCTTCGTTTGGCATATTTCCAAACAACACTCTCAGCAAAACCATTGGGACTTTTGAAATTTATTGTCAAGTTTAAAACATTTGTTAGAAATGTATTCAAAAAGTAATCAAATATAACAAGTTACATTACTTAGATGAAGTAATTAAAATAATTATATTACTTAATACTTTTTAAACAGGGTCAGTAGTAATGTGTATCCTATTCCATTTCAAAAGTAACCTTCCCAACACTGATAAAAGACAGTGTAGCAGGTCTATGCCAAAAATAAACCTTGATTTTTACTTTTGTTTTTCTGCACAAGATTACAATGCCACAATGTTGTCCATCCCAAACCTGTACACTCTATGCAAGCGGGTGCTGCAGTTTGTCTACTTGCAAAGAAGCCCCATTTATCACTCCTTGTTGGTGGCCACCACTGGGTGTCCCAGTCCATGCCAAGAGCAGAGGTAAACTAAACACTCCTCTGAGAGTATAAACTGTTATGTCTGATGCATACTGAATTGTATTCTTCTTTAATGGACTTGATATCTCTCCCTCCCCTGGTTTTCTCTGGATATGCAGAGTGAAATTTGTTTCCGTGAAGGAAGACTATATGCTCTTAGGCGTGGGGGTCATTGCCACAGGTGCTTTCATCCTTAACTTTGCCATTTGGACAGAGGTAACCGCCTGCTTGTCTTCTGTTTCACTCAACCCTTTTTATGTTTCATCTCTATCTGTCCATCTATAAACACATTCACACATCTTTGTGTGTGTGTATTTAATATTTGGTTTGTCCAACTTGAAACTTTGTACTACTCTCATTTAAACATTTAATCAGTGCTTTCTGACCTTCAGATCACTTCCCTAATTAGAGTTTGGGCAAATAATTTGCTTGTTAATACTCTACACATAAATACCAAAGAACTGGCAAAGAGCTCAGAGTGGGAAGCTTGCCTGTTTATGCCATTTTTCCTAGGCCAAAGAAGAACCCTAAAGTTTATTTTTATTGGTCATTTTTTAATATACTAGTAGTAAAGCAGGACATTTCTGGCAAATTTCTTTTCTCTCACTGTAAATTTAATTGGAAAATGCTGGGTAGCCTGTTTCAGATGTTTGTAATTGTTGCATCTTAGGTAGTGGAAGAACTCTGTCATATAACAGGAATTTCTGCACGGAGTATTATGGACTTCACACATATAATCTTACGGCACATTGTAAACAATGAAACTCCACAGAAATCTAAATGTGCTCCTGGTGCTTCAAGGTAAAATTACAAATTTTGTTTTATTGTTTAATAATTTTTGTATATTAATAGTTTTTAATAAGACAAGTAAACATTATCAGTAATGACCCAGCTTTTCTTTGTTTGTTTTTTGACTGGTTTGCATCACCCTTAAATCTCAAAACATTAAGAAAGAATAGCTGTAATTTTGTTTTGTTAAAGTATTCAAATGTAATCTTCAATACCATCATTCATTTTTGGAAATAAAGACCTGAAATTGACTAAAACCACATGGTATTAATTTAAATATTATAGATTCCTTACTTTTGCTTAACATTTTGTCTTTAAAAACTGTCTCTATGATGTGTGAGAGAACATGGGAAATGTGACAGTCAGGATGTTTCTCAGGTGTGTGCATTGGTTGGCCATGTTTGATACCACAGTGAGACTGGTAAGCTGCGAAATGTTGTAGTTAATATTTTTCAATGCAGAAACCAAGTATACAGGCAGCAGGAGTAGTATTGTTTTCCATGTATGTGTAATTTTCATCATGTCAGCCTGCTTAAATGTGCAAATACATTACACACAAAAAGTCTTGGAACACTTGCTAAATTCAGTAAACATATTGCAAATGTATTGGTTTTATTAGAAAAATCATTGGTTTATTCATTTGTTTACACAAAATGCATCATTTTAGAAACAACCAGTAAAACATCAATTTCAAGTAGTAGTAAATTGAAACCCAAATTATAGTTCTAAAGGAGCTGTTCTGAATTAAAAACTTCATTGACAATCAGTATCATTGGGTGCTTTTCAGTTGGTAACACCTTTGCAATAACAATATGCCAAACATTTGTGTTTAGTATCCAATGACTACAATTGCAATTAATGGCAAGAACAGAACTGAATGAGTCAGTTAAACTAATTATGACACTTAATAAAAAGAAAATGTCTGTGCAGATATGTTAAACATTGCTTGTCAGTGGACTTTTGTTATGAAACCAATAAATTTGCTACATTTTTACAGAATTAAGTGAGCATCCCAAGTCCTAACATTCCCTAAGAAATAAAGGGATCGCATTCAGTAAGGGATTCCATACTGGCCATGGAACACTGGATCAGCTCTTCACCTTCACACAGATACTGGATGGTTCATGGGAGTTTGATCACGTGTCTACTTGTGTTTTCTGGACTTGGAAAAGGCATACAATCAGGGGGTCCTATGGGGGGTGCTTCCGGAGTATGGGATGCAGGGTCTGTTGTTGCGGACCATCAGGTCCCTGTACAAACGGAGCAGTAGTTTGGTTTGCATTGCCAGCAGTAAGTCAGACTCGTTCCTGGTGAGTGGTGGAATCCATCAGGGCTGCCCTTTGTCACCGATTCTGTTCATAACTTTTATGGACAGAATTTCTAAGCGTAGCCAAGGGATGGAGGGGGTTCGGTTTGGGGGTTTGTAGCTGAGCGTGAAGCTGCCGGGATGCGGATTAGCACCTCCAAATCTGAGGCCATGGTTCTCAACCAGAAAAAGGTAGATCATTGTGTCGAGGGAGCTGAGCTGGAAGGCGAACCAGTCGATCTACGTTCCTACGCTCACCTATGGTTATGAGTTCTTGGTTCTTGGCTCCTTCGTGAGTGTCTGGGCTCAGCCTTAGAGACAGGGTGAGGAGCTCGGACATTCGGGAGGGGCTCAAAGGAGAGCCGTTGCTCCTCCACATTGAAAGGTGCCAGTTGAGGTGGTTTGGGCATCTATAGAATATTTCCTGGACTGTTCCCTGGGGAGGTGTTTCGGGCATGTCCAAAGGGAGGAGGCCCGGGGGCAGACCCAGAACACGCTGGAGAGATTATATCTCTTGGTTGGCCTTGGAACACCTTTGTATTCC